ATATATATATATATATATCCTTTCCACTTTTTTCCCTCCAGTCCCTGTATACTGATTGCTCTTTCTAACTACTTTCGTTTGAAATCAGTCAGTAATTTCGTTGTCGGAGCAGATAAATTACTTTAAAGAATACATTTCTAAACTGAATGGTCTTGTTGGAGAAGAAAGAACAAAATTCATCTTGGCCAACAGCCTGTTTCTATTGGTCGCCGGCAGTGATGACATCGCCAACACCTATTTTGTCCTCCGTGCCCGGAAATTGCAATACGACGTTCCTGCTTACACCAATCTCATGGTTAATTCAGCTTCCAAATTCATCGAGGTGAGTCCTGATGCCATGAAAATTACGGAACTATCATGAACAAAAAAGAATTCTTCGAGAATGATAATCAATATTTTTACAAAGTCTAAGGACTAAACTTGAAATTAACCCTATATATTAATTTTTGAAGGAACTATATTCACTGGGAGCAAGAAGAATTGGAGTGTTCAGTGCACCACCAGTCGGATGTGTACCATCGCAAAGAACGTTGGCCGGAGGAATAGAGAGGGAATGTGCCGAAAATTACAACGCTGCAGCCACATTATTCAACAAAAAACTATCCACAGAACTGGATTCCCTTTCTAGTAGCCTGCCTCATAGCAAAATCATCTACATAGATGTGTATAATCCTCTTCTTGATATCATCAATCGTCCTCAAAAATATGGTATTTTTTATGTTCCTTGTGTATCATTTTATTTTTTTAATTTTAGATAATGACCTGCACAATAAGAAATAACTTGTTTCTTTTTAAAATTTTATTTAAAGAAATATGAAAATTAAGATGTTCTGATGCTCAAGACGTTCATCACAGTCATCTGTTAAATGAACCCCTGAACTTGCTTAATAGATAGATGACTGTGATAGGTGTCTTAAGTATTAAGATGTCCTAAATTTTTGAACTTTCTTTTGTTTACCCATAAAATTAATATAAAAATTTAAATTCTTAATCACGAAACATCTTTTAAGAAGTCCCTTGTGTATTAATTATCAACCATTATCGCAGTCCATTAAATTCAAGAGAATTGGCTAATAATGTTTATTTGACTTGGTTATTGTTTCAGGATTTGAAGTTGCGAACAAAGGGTGCTGTGGTACAGGGAAACTAGAGGTGGCAGTGTTATGCAACAAGTTGAGTCCATCAACATGTGCAGATGTGGACAAATATATTTTCTGGGATAGTTACCATCCCACGGAAAGAGGATACAGAGTCCTCATTTCTCAACTCCTGCAGAAATACGTCAACAAATTCTTTTGAACTGAGTTATGCTGGTGTGAATGGTGATGACACCACTTTAAATTTACTAATTCTATATATCTTATCCTGTATAATAAGGTCCCAGTGAATCTTGAATCAATTAGAAAAAATCAAGGTTGATTCAGTCCTTAATAATAGTACTTTGCAACTCTTTTCTGGTGGTCCATGAGTTTGGTTTTTTATTTTTACTTTTTGATATATTAGAACAATCAATTACTTAACAATACAAAAGTTTGCATTCTTAATTTTAACTTTAAATTAAAAATTTTAAATTAATAAATATTAATTCAGTTAAACTCTTATTCATAATTTATAAATTTGACACCAAATAGTATTGAATAATAAATTTTTTCCCCTATTTTTGTCGGTTTTGAGAGTAAGAGTTGTAGGTGATCGATACTAAAAAGGAAAACAATTGGTTGACAGATAGAAAACATTGAACTTGGAGGGAGGTGGCAAACTGAGGGAGAATAAGTGACATTTTATTGCATTATTATTAATTCTTTGATCCGACCACTAACCATTGCCATACCGGTGGGATTCCCTTGACAAGCCATCTCAAAATGTTATAGAAAAAATGATTGAATTGATGAAATAGACCTTAGTCAATTACTTTCAAAACTTCAATATTAGGAAGTAATTAATTAAGGTTAGAGATCATTCATACTTCTTCTGGCTAAATTCTAACTTCTTTTCCGATCTAGAATTAAGGAATCACATGGGAGTGGGATCAACAACGAGGATCAGTGAGAATGAAATATCAACAAAAAAAAATGTAGATATAAAGGCAAAGATTTTCATTAGGAAAGCGTCAAAATTTCTGGTCACTTGTGGCTTTCAAGCTTCAATATCAGTTGGGCGGTGGCCGTCCCATTAATTGTTTTAAACTTAGTTGGGTTTGGAACATAACTCCGCAACTTGAATTTGGAGGAGACGAGTCCTACACGCAAAAGCATTTGGGATTTTGGTGAATATTTTTTATGCTGTCAGTCTGTCACCAAAAAACAAAAAACGAAAGCCAAAAAAAGGGGAGAATTTTTATGTTATAAATTCAGTTCCGAACTGCAAAACATGGTTATTAGATAGGGAAACAGCCATCAATAACAAGGGATTTACTCTACATTTAATAATAAATATTGTACAATCTGAATTACATAATATTTTTTTAATTTTTATTAAAAAAAAATTCAGGGGAAGAGAATGCGCTTGAGAAACAGAGGTTTTCAACTTTTCCCACTAAGATGGTCCACTTATGTTTCTTCACTGGGCTCACCTTCAATCAATGATTTGGGCCGGTTTCATAAACACAAACACACAATCCTTATTTCTAAGGGCTTGGGAGTCGGGCCTAGGCAGTCTCTTTCCGGGCTCCAGTTTCTGCTCTGGTTCTTAAACAAACTTCCAAAGGGAAATGGCTTCGTTTTCCAAATCATAACAACGCTTAATCTCTTCCTCTCCTCTCATTTTCAGTTATTTCAGTTGTTGAACCAAACATTTCGAAGCTTCACGTAAGATGTTGGAGGAAAAATGAAAAAAAAAAAAAGCTTCATTAGGCCATGAAGAAAGCAAAAGAAAGTTTGAAAGAATACTCAACTTTTTATTCACACTAATCATGTAGTGTACAAAGGATGTATTTATATTTACAGAAAAGTTGATTGAGACTGTAATTATGCCTGACGTTGAGGAAGGCTTAATGGCACATTATTTGACCTTTGCTTTTGAATATGATTTGTCCCTAATTTCTTGAGATTGTTTCCACAATTGCTGAGCATGATTTCCTGATATTGTTTCCATATTTGCATGAGCTATCTTTCTCACTTGATTCATGCTTTGATATATAGTTCCAGTTGCTGTGATTTCTCCTTTTCCCTCATATTTACTTGTTCAGATACATCCAGCTACATTTTCTGGGACTCAGCACACCCTTCAGAAAAAACATACAGGATCATAGTTGCTGAAGTTCTTCAAAAAAATCAAAGCAGCTTCTGGGTTTTTAGGATAACGTTTATGAAATAGTTCATTTGTCTACTTATTATTGTATTGGGGGAGTACTTTCTCTATTACAAAATAACTATTATTGTTTTATTTTTTTAAAATTAAAATTTAGGAATAATATTTATATTTATTTATAATATTTTTTAAAAAATAAAAAATAAAAAATTGTGATTAAATAATTTATTAAAATAAATAATAATAATAAAATTAAAATAAACAATATTTATCTACTTTTACAAATAAAAAATAATAATTAAAAATAATAATTTTATATTGATTTCTCATCAAATGTGGCACTTTCTTATGCCGAGGGGCCTTCTCATATCAAATGCTACTATTGACGGGA